ACTCACCACCACACAGAGACCCATAGACTCACCACCACACAGAGACCCATAGACTCACCACCACACAGAGACCCACAGACTCACCAACACACAGAGACCCATAGATTCACCACCACACAGAGACCCATAGACTCACCACCACACAGAGACCCACAGACTCACCACCACACAGAGACCCATAGACTCACCACCACACAGAGACCCATAGACTCACCACCACACAGAGACCCATAGACTCATCACCACACAGAGACCCATAGACTCACCACCACACAGAGACCCATAGACTCACCACCACACAGAGACCCATAGACTCACCACCACACAGAGACCCATAGACTCACCACACAGAGACCCATAGACTCACCACCACACAGAGACCCACAGACTCACCACCACACAGAGACCCATTGACTCACCACCACACAGAGACCCACAGACTCACCACCACACAGAGACCCACAGACTCACCACCACACAGAGACCCACAGACTCACCACCACACAGAGACACACAGACTCACCACCACACAGAGACCCATAGACTCACCACCACACACAGACCCATAGACTCACCACACAGAGACCCATAGACTCACCACCACAAAGAGACCCATAGACTCACCACCACACAGAGACCCATAGACTCACCACCACACAGAGACCCACAGACTCACCACCACACAGAGACCCATAGACTCACCACCACACAGAGACCCATAGACTCACCAGCACACAGAGACCCATAGACTCACCACACAGAGACCCATAGACTCACCACCACACAGAGACCCATAGACTCACCACCACACAGAGACCCATAGACTCACCACAACACAGAGACCCACAGACTCACCACCACACAGAGACCCACAGACTCACCACCACACAGAGACCCACAGACTCACCACCACACAGAGACCCATAGACTCACCACCACACAGAGACCCATTGACTCACCACACAGAGACCCATAGACTCACCACCACACAGAGACCCATAGACTCACCACCACACAGAGACCCATAGACTCACCACCACCACACAGAGACCCATAGACTCACCACCACACAGAGACCCATAGACTCATCACCACACAGAGACCCATAGACTCACCACCACACAGAGACCCATAGACTCATCACCACACAGAGACCCATAGACTCACCACACAGAGACCCATAGACTCACCACCACACAGAGACCCATAGACTCACCACCACACAGAGACCCATAGACTCACCACCACACAGAGACCCATAGACTCACCACCACACAGAGACCCATAGACTCACCACCACACAGAGACCCATAGACTCACCACCACCACACAGAGACCCATAGACTCACCACCACACAGAGACCCATAGACTCACCACCACACAGAGACACATAGACTCACCACAACACAGAGACCCAGACTCACCACCACACAGAGACCCACAGACTCACCACCACACAGAGACCCATAGACTCACCACCACACAGAGACCCATTGATTCACCACACAGAGACCCATAGACTCACCACCACACAGAGACCCATAGACTCACCACCACACAGAGACCGATAGACTCATCACCACACAGAGACCCATAGACTCACCACCACACAGAGACCCATAGACTCATCACCACACAGAGACCCATAGACTCACCACCACACAGAGACCCATAGACTCACCACCACACAGAGACCCATAAACTCACCACCACACAGAGACCCATAGACTCATCACCACACAGAGACCCATAGACTCACCACCACACAGAGACCCATAGACTCATCACCACACAGAGACCCATAGACTCACCACCACACAGAGACCCATAGACTCACCACCACACAGAGACCCATAAACTCACCACCACACAGAGACCCATAGACTCACCACCGCAAAGAGACCCATAGACTCACCACCACACAGAGACCCATAGACTCAACACCACACAGAGACCCATAGACTCACCACCACACAGAGACCCATAGACTCACCACCGCACAGAGACCCATAGACTCACCACCACACAGAGACCCATAGACTGACCACCACACAGAGACCCATAGACTCACCACCACACAGAGACCTATAGACTCACCACCACACAGAGACCCATAGACTCACCACCCCACAGAGACCCATAGACTCACCACTACACAGAGACCCATAGACTCACCACCACATAGAGACCCATAGACTCACTACCACACAGAGACCCATAGACTCACCACCACACAGAGACCCACAGACTCACCACCACACAGAGACCCATAGACTCACCACCACACAGAGACCCATAGACTCACCACCGCACAGAGACCCATAGGCTCACCACTACACAGAGACCCATAGACTCACCACCACACAGAGACCCATAGGCTCATCACACAGAGACCCATAGACTCACCACCACACAGAGACCCATAGACTCGTCACCACACAGAGACCCATAGACTCATCACCACACAGAGACCCATAGACTCACCACCACACAGAGACCCATAGACTCACCACCACACAGAGACCCATAGACTCACCACCAGAGACCCATAGACTCACCACCACACAGATACCCATAGACTCACCACCACACAGAGACCCATAGACTCACCACCACAGAGACCCATAGACTCATCAGAGACACAACGAGACCCACAGACTCGCTTAGAATGTTCAAGGACCGCTGCTTGAAGTTTAAGATATTTTATTTGAATATTAAAGCGCGAATCATCGTTACAGACATTATTATTTTTACACAATAAGCAGATCGTTAAAATCGTTGGCAAATTTCCTTAATCCCACAAAAAGATGCATTATTTTTAATTAAAACCCATGTCCAACGATTGAATACCAAAGTTATAAAAAGTGTGCGAGGGTCTAGCCCAGGCTTAGGCCCTAGCACAGGCCCAGGCCTACCCCAGGCTTCGGCCTAGCCCAGGCTTCGGCCTAGCCCAGGCCCCGGCCTACCCGAGGCCCCGGCCTACCCGAGGCCCCGGCCTACCCCAGGCCCGGGCCTACCCCAGGCTTCTGCCTACCCCAGGCTTCGGCCTACCCCAGGCCCCGACCTGGCCCAGGCCCCGGCCTAACCCAGGCTTCGGCCTACCCCAGGCTTCGGCCTAGCGCAGGCCCCGGCCTACCCGAGGCCCGGGCCTACCCCAGGCGTCGGCCTACCCCAGGCCCAGGCCTGGCCCCGGCTTCGGTCTAGCCCAGGCCCCGACCTACCCGAGGCCCGGCCAACCCCGAGGCCCGGGCCTACCCGAGGCCCGGGCCTACCCCAGGCTTCGGCCTACCCCAGGCTTCGACCTAGATCAGGGCCGTGACCTACCCGAGGCCCCGACCTACCCCGAGGCCCGGGGCATACCCCAGGCTTCGGCCTACCCCAGGTTTCGGCCTAGCCCAGGCCCGGGGCCAACCCCGATGCCCGGGCCTACCCCTGGCTTCGGCCTACCCCAGGCCCCGACCTACCCAGGCTTCGGCCTACCCCAGGCCCCGACCTGGCCCAGGCCCCTGCCTACCCCTGGCTTCGGCCTACCCCGGCACCGGACCTACCCCAGGCCCCGGCCTACCCCAGGCTTCGGGCCTAGCCCAGGCCCCGGCCTACCCGAGGGCCGGGCCTACCCCAGGCTTCGGCCTACCCCAGGCTTCGGCCTACCCCAGCCCCCAGCCGAGGCCCGCGAAGGGCTGCCCGCCGGGCGGCGTGGCCACGGTGGGCTCGGGCCCGCGGGCGTCGAGGCGGTGGCCCAGGCCGAGGGCTGCCACTCCGTAGGCGTTGAAGGCGCCCAGCGCCAACGAGGGCAGCAGCGTGAGGGCGGAGCCGAACGGGGGGGCACCACGGGGGCAAAGCCAACGTCACCCAGTAGATGAGGCTGGGGGTGGGTGGGTGGGGGTGGAGACACGCAGGGGGGATGAGTTGAGGGGCATTGGTGGGGGGGCATTGGTGGGGGGTGATGGGGCATTGGTGGGGGTGGGGGGTGGGGGGCATTTGTGGGGGGTGGGGGGGCATTGGTGATGGGGCATTGGTGGGGGGTGGGGGGGCATTGGTGGGGGGGGCATTGGTGGGGGGGCATTGGTGGGGGGCATTGGTGGGGGGGCATTGGTGGGGGGTGAATGGGGCATTGGTGAGGGGTGGGGGGTGAGACACGCGGGGGGATGAGTTGAGGGGCATTGGTGGGGGGGCATTGGTGGGGGGTGATGGGGAATTGGTGGGGGGTGGCAGGGCATTGGTGGGGGGTGATTGGGCATTGGTGGGGGGTGGGGGGCATTGGTGGGGGGTGATGGGGCATTGGTGGGGGGTGGGGGGCATTGGTGGGGGGTGATGGGGCATTGGTGGGGGGTGGGGGGGGGCATTGGTGGGGGGGCATTGGTGGGGGGGTGGGGGGCATTGGTGGGGGGGCATTGGTGGGGGGGCATTGGTGGGGGGTGGTGGGGCATTGGTGGGGGGTGGGGGAGCATTGGTGGGGGGGGCATTGGTGGGGGGTGATGGGGCATTGGTGGGGGTGGGGTGGGCATTGGTGGGGGGCATTGGTGGGGGGTGGGGGCATTGGTGGGGGATGGGGGGCATTGGTGGGGGGTGGGGGCATTGGTGGGGGGGGCATTGGTGGGGGGTGGGGGGGCATTGGTGGGGGGGCATTGGTGGGGGGTGGTGGGGCATTGGTGGGGGGCATTGGTGGGGGGCATTGATGGGGGGGCATTGGTAGGGGGTGGGGGGCATTGGTAGGGGTGGGGGGGGCATTGGTGGGTGGGGCATTAGTGGGGGGGCATTGGTGGGGGGCATTGGTGGGGGTGGGGGGCATTGGTGGGGGCATTGGTGGGGGGCATTTGTGGGGGGTGGGGGCATTGGTGGGGGGGGCATTGGTGGGGGGCATTGGTGGGGGTGGGGGGCCATTGGTGGGGGGGCATTGGTTGGGCATTGGTGGGGGGTGGGAGGGCATTGGTGGGGGGGCATTGGTGGGAGGGGCATTGGGTGGGGGGGGCATTGGGGGGGGGGGCATTTGGTGGGGGGTGGGGGGAATTGGTGGGGGGACATTGGTGGGGGGCATTGGTGGGGGGTGGGGGGGCATTGGTGGGGGGCATTGGTGGGGGGTGGGAGGGCATTGGTGGGAGGGCATTGGTGGGAGGGCATTGGTGGGGGGTGGGGGCATTGGTGGGGGCATTGGTGGGGGGCCATTGGTGGGGAGGCATTGTGGGGGGGTGGGGGGGCATTGGTGGGGGGTTGGGGGGCATTGGTGGGGGGGCATTGTGGGGGTGGGGGCATTGGTGGGGGGGCATTGGGTGGGGGGCATTGGTGGGGGGCATTGGTGGGGGCATTGGTGGGGGGCCATTGGGGGGGGTGGGGCATTGGTGGGGGGCATTGGTGGGGGCATTGGTGGGGGGTGGGGGGCATTGGTGGGGGGTATTGGTGGGGGGGCATTGGTGGGGGGGGGGCATTGGTGGGGGGTGGGGGGGAATTGGTGGGGGGTGGGGGCATTGGTGTGGGTGGGGGGGCATTGTGGGGGGCATTGGTGGGGGGCATTGGTGGGGGGTGGGGGGCATTGGTGGGGGGCATTGGTAGGGGGGTGGGAGGGCATTGGTGGGGGGGCATTGGTGGGGGGGGGCATTGGTGGGGGCATTGGTGGGGGGGGAGGGCATTGGTGGGGGGGCATTGGTGGGGGGCATTGGTGGGGGTGGGGCATTGGTGGGGGGAATTGGGGGGGGGGGGGGGCATTGGTGGGGGGTGGGGGGGGCATTGTGGGGGGCATTGGTGGGGGGGCATTGGTGGAGGGTGGGGGCATTGGTGGGGGGCATTTGTGGGGGGTGGGGGCATTGCTGTGGGGGCATTGGTGGGGGGCGTTGGTGGGGGGTGGGAGGGCATTGGTGGGGGGGCATTGGTGGGGGGCATTGGGGGGGGCATTGGTGGGGGTGGGGGCATTGGTGGGGGGTGGGGGGAATTGGTGGGGGGGGGGGGCATTGGTGGGGGGTGGGGGCATTGGTGGGGGCATTGGTGGGGGGCATTGGTGGGGGGTGGGGGGCATTGGTGGGGGGCATTGGTGGGGGGT